ATATCTTGTTTTGTAATCTCTGCATGTCTTCAGTTTTAAACTGTATAAGTGCTGCTATTTCTTACGCAAGCATATCAGATCCCTAACATTAAATTATAAATACTCAAATCAATAAGACAGCTTGCTAGTTCTGTCTTGTTCTGTCAAAAGCTGTAAAATGGGGCAAGAAGAAGATACCATCAAGGTACGTGGCTTAAGGATGGTAGGATCTGGCCAATGCAGGTAAAGCGGGTCCCCTGAAGGCATACATGCATGTCACTGCCCAAAAAAACCCCACACATAGATGCAAAAAAATAATAATGAGGATAAAGCATCAAACATATATCTGGATTTCCACCACCATCTTCCTCCACTGGTGAAGCTAAAAACTAGACTAGCATACAGAATGCTAACCGAAATCTACATAGATCTCATTCGATCAAAACCAGAGCCATAGGTACTTCCTACAGTTCAGAAAGTGCCCAGAGTCTCTTTGGGAAGCAAAATCTGTGGCATATAAATTTAATGAATAATATAAGAAAGAGCATTCTACACTGGGCTTTTGCTAAATAAGAGGAACAAGAAAAGCAAACATGTGATCAAGAAAAAGAGGAGATTCCTGAATATTAGAGAGGAAACAAAGAGAAAAGGCAAGAATGCAAAAGAAAAAAAAAAAGGAAATAAGGTGAAGCTGAAGAAGAAAGAAGAGTTCAGTGAGAAGCAGGCTGGATAGCATATAGCAAATCTAGAAAGAGAACGAAAAACATGTTACAAGTACATTTCCAGGGTAATTTAAATCTGGTGCAATGCAAAATGACTTCTTGCCTTCATTTTTAGTTACTGATTATTCTTATGAGCGACAGGAAGAACCTGCTCCAAGACTGGAAGCATTTAGGCAAGAAAGGAAGTATTCAAAGTTGCTTAGCTCTAAAATGGACTGGAGAATTTATAGCTCGTTTTGGTTGGATTACAACTCCCAATCCCACTCAAACCCTATCGCAAATTATGAATGCGGAGAGTTCCAGGTTTAGCAACAGGGTCCCAAGATGAACAGAAGGTAGTCTCATTCTTTCATACAGCAGTTAATATAGTTATAATTAGGTATATTTTATGTACCAAACCTAATAATTCACCCAAAAATGCATGCAGAAATGAAGCTGTAGAAGGAAAAGTCAGTGAGCAAGCAAAAAAGTACACATGCACAAGAAGAAAAGAGCAAAAGTAAAGCAAAGAAGAAGAAAGCAAAGAGCCAAACTAGAAAGAATCTGCACTGGGGCAAACAGTCAAAGAACACACAGAGAGGAGAAAGAGTGAAGCTAAACTCCAAGAAGCTGAGGATCAAACCAGAAGTAGCACAGAACCACAGCAGAATTTGTTTGGCCTGATCTTCGTTATTGTGCAAAACACATTATAAATGAAGCTTTGTTTGTCCATATGTTGTATGAACTGAGCCAATTGTAGTTAGTTAAATAAACTGTTGCTAAGCAGACTGTGGTTTAATCTGATGGGTTAACATGGGAACTTTATGAACCCTTGACTGGGGATTATAAGCAATAGATAAAATGTGAGAAGGGAAAAAAATGCTGCTGCCAATATGATTTCCTTTTTGATCTCAAAATGTGATGGAAGAAGCCAGTCACAGTCACACATATCTTTCTATCCCTTTTTTAAAAACTTTACCTGGGAAGGCTGTGAGCCAAACAGACTAGTAAAAGAAATGATCTGAGGAAGAAACTGCAAAAAATGTTGTTCCCATTCAAAAGCTGATTTGGTGAGAAATCTCTCCTTTTCAGATGGGCTTTCATTCTTCAGGGGAAGGAAAATCCCCTCCTGAGTTGGGGACAACAGACAGTTTGCAGCAAAAAAAGGGAGAGAAAGGTTAGGCCACTTCTTATAGCCAACCATCCATGTCTATCCTGTGCCTTGTCTAATTTAAACCTCAGCTGGAAAAAGAAAAGAAGCAAAAAAGTGGTGGGAATCTATGCACACAAATAGAAAGCATGAAAACAAGGAAAGAGACAAAGCTATAAGAAAATAGTAAGAGACGAAAGAGAGGAAAAAAGTATGAGAGTAAACCATTAGAGGAACAAAGCTGTGGAGGAAAGCAAAGAATGAGGTGATGTGGCCTCAGGGTGAGCAAAACTTAATGGAAAGCAAAGGCATGCAAAGGAGTTCAAACTGTAACACTGGAACAGAACCAGATTGCAAAAGGAAATAGAAATTTATTCTTTTGGACAGCTATGTCGCAACAAAAATGTATTTCTAAATGTAAGGAGTCCCTTTTTGAAATATCTACCCATTGCTCATTTATGCAAAAATAAATGTCAGAGGTTTGTGGCATTTATGTTCCAGTAATACCTTTATTTGCAATGCTGATCTGCATGTGTAGCAATGTGAGGGAAAACTCCTGAGGACAGAAAGGACTATGTGCTCCTATGCTCATTTCAGCCTACACATGGGAGAACAGGTATCAAGAATGCCCTCCAAATTCAAAATGAGCACAAGAGGAAAAAAAATTCCTATGGTTTATTTGGTTTCTCATTCCTATGGTTTATTTGGCTTATTTGGTTTGGGATTTAATTTTTACTTGAAATGCAGGCAAGTGTTCTGAAGTGGTCTCCTGCAGCTGTAGCTAGTCTGTACTAAGTTAGCCAGATACAAAAGAAGGAAGGGCTCCTGCATCTTTAATAGCTATACCAGTAAGATAAACTGCAATAGATTTTTGTTGCAGTCAGTTAACTCAAGATGCAAAAGGCCTACTGTTTGGAGCTCCGTTTCTTTAATAGGGGTGACTGTGCTGGAGAAATAATTTTTTAGAAACATAGGCAGGGGTTCTAAGAGAAAGACCAGCTTTTCAACAGCATTGAGATGAAATAAATTCTAGTAAGACAAGAAATCTTAGTTTAGCCTGCGATAGTACTAAGAAAAGGCATTTTTAAATAGGGTGAGACAAAATATTAGTTTAGGAAAAGCAGCATGTTAGGAGGGGGAAAGTAGGCTGTGGAATCAGAAACAACAGCACTTCATATCACATTTATAGCACTTCAGATCAAAGTCATGAATACACTCCATTCACTTTGGGGGATAGTGAACTGGGTCAAGTAGAAAAAACCCAACTTTGATTCTTTTAATATCTCTCTCCCTCCCTCTCTCTCTCTCTCTCTGTGTGTCTTTGTGTGTAAATACACATAATTCTCAAACTGGTTACTATTGTATTTTCCTTATTTTATTTGTTGTGAGGTACCCAGAGTGGTTGGCCAGAATATGAATCTGATTAATAATTAGGTCATTTCCTCTTATTTTTATGCTTATTAGATTTCAGGCAAAATTTCCCACTAAGTTCATACTTCACAGCTACAGAGACTAGAAATGTAATTCACCAAAAGACAACATTCAAAGTCTTGGGGTGCTCAAGGCAAACATACAGATGCAGCAAAACAAAAAACCCAGCACTACATAATGGCTTCATGAGAGACCATTCTAAAAATGGCAAAGATTCACCCTATTTTATTACTATATTGGATTTCCTGTCTTCAAAGGGCAGTAGAAAAGCCTGTGTTAGCGGCCAAATCTTTTTAAACAGGGGCAGGCAAAGCTTTTAGGAGACACTTTGAGAAACGCATTGCTTCTCACAGGTTACATGTTTATTTTGTTCTTCTATCACATTACCTAAACTGTTTGGCAGCTTTAAAAATAAAATTAACCTTTTCTCTGTTTTCATCCACATATCCCTAAATTAATGCCTATTTCCAATCTTGGCCTACCCATTTCAGGAAGCCCCCTATCATGCCATCATCCCCTCCCCACCTCCCTGATGGAAGCCAAGAGAGCATCATTCTTAATAAGGGAAAGAGCAAGGATACAGCAATAGAAAAAGAGATGGAGGAAAAGAAAGAAAGAAGAGGCAGAGTAACAGAAATTAGCCAGAATCAGAATTTTATTACAGTAATGTGGAAACAGCAGAAAGGAGGACAAGCATCTATATAGAGAAGTTTTTCCCTGAGATATTGCATTGTGAGCTTGAGAGGCACCGCAACATAAATTCAGAAATACAGTGAAGCAAAATTGCCAGAAACAGAAATAGATTCTGCTTTGGGATAACAGCCTTTAGGACAGTGGTTCTCAACCCGTGGGTCGGGACCCCATTTGGGGTCGAACGACCATTTCACGGGGGTCGCCAAACAAGGCTGACCGCCATTTTTTCCCCTTTTCTTTGGCCACGCCCCTGGCACCCGGTGATGTATAAGTGGTTGGGGGTCACCACAACATGGGGAACAGTATTATGGGGTCGCGGCATTAGAAAGGTTGAGAACCACTGCTTTAGGAGAAAATGATGATTAAATATATTTCTTTAAAGAAAGAAATGTTTCAATAACACCACGCATGTGAATATATCCATATCAACATATATGTCAGTGGATGTAAACTTCCCAATCAGTGACTTTCACGTTTCCGATATTACTAATCTGTTGATCTTTCCTGTATATCCACGAATAAAGTATTTATTTGTATTCCAGCTAAAACATTCACATTTTATTATAAAAAATAATAACTCTTCCCCATTCATTGTTCTATATTTATGAGATCAGTCCCAGTAAAATTAGAAGATTAAAATAAGAATGGTTAAGAGAGGAGTGTGAGGCACAGTTCATACCAAAATATATTAGAAATGTCTTTTTAAGTGCACAGATTGCAGTGCAAAAGTTTGTATTGTTATCATTTCCAAAAAATGTTGAAAACTTGATGCATATGTACAATATATGCATTGTCATCAAGTACAATGCATATATTGTACGTATGCATGCTTTTCCATATACTGTACTGCTGCAAAAGGGCCAGACTAATTTTAAGCAGATGTGTGCTCCAGCTAATGCATGCTGGACATACCAAAATAATGACAAAATATTTGAAGGCAAAGCCACACAGCTGGCTCAGCTCCCATTAAGCAAGCCTGTGCCCTTAATACGAATGAAGGATGCTTCTTTTTGCCAGCCCAGTCAGTTGAAAATAGAGAGAGTTTGCTCTTCAATTCAGACAAAAAAAAAAAAAAAAAAAAGATTCTGCACAGGAGAAGCATTGAAGAACTATGAAAAAAGCATTCCCAGAATTCTGGGAGTTGAAGTCCATGAGTCATAAAAGAGCCAAAGTTGCCTACTCCTGGTTTAGTAGTTGCCTCTTGGATAAGGCTGTGTTCTCTTGAGGGAAGTAAAGCTATGTGTTATTCCTGCAAACAGAACTGTTTCTTCTACATCCTGGCCACTGTGTGTGGGGGGGGGGGGGAAGAATATCTGAAATGATATTATTCATAACTGAATAAAAATAGGGAACATTTGTAAGCAAAAACTTGATTTTCATTTTTACAGAAAATAAGAGCCTTGTTTCCGCTACTGAGCTGATACCCAAAGCAGATTGGAAATACAAGAAAGCACACACACACACACAAAAAGATAGACAAGAGCTAGCATGAAGGAGAACAATATAAAAGAGCAGTCAAGGTGAAGGAAAAGTATAGGCAATGAGGGGAGAGCGCAGAGAACTATAAAAGAATCTAAGTGACATGGCAGCAGCAGGGACCATATGACCCTCCAGAGGGGCTTTTCCAGATAATTCCCAGTTGATGGCCAGAAATGACTGGAGCTGGAACCCAACGATCTCAAGAGAGTGGCTTATTTTTCACTCTTGTTCCATGTCACCTTCAGAGATCAGCTGGAAAACTACTCTGCCTTCTCGCTCAGGAACTGTGGGAAGTGTAATATGAGAGGGTTTGGACTGACTATTTTCAGCAATTTCCAATAATAGTTCCCAAGTTTCCTGGGGAAACTGTGTAAATCTATTGTTTTGGAAATCAATTATTTTACAGTGTTTGAATATTTGATGAGGTGAAACTGGTGCTTCCATCTCAGAGTTCCTTATCTGAGGCTGTAACAATTATAAGAGCCTCAATCCAGATTTAAAATGCACCAGCTCCAGTGCAGAGACTGGAAGCCAATTAAATGGTTGGAGAATTTTTGGATATTCAAGAAATAAAATGGAGTTACCAAGTCCCAAACTTGCTTCCCCACAGTCTAACTGAAATAGGATACCTATGGGTCTCAAGACCCATCACTTGGCTACGGTTGTGTATCTGCCATTTGATCTGCATTTTGATTTTGTGTGCTGCCCACCTGCTGGTCTCTACCCAACCAGAAGATACAGAAGAGGCCTGAATTGTGAATAATGCTAAAAATTCTTATGGGCTCAAGGAAAAATCCTGAACAGTCCCCAGGGTATTGTATAGCTGGGTGGGAGATAGACACATCAATGGTCTAATTCTCTCCTTCATACACAGACTCATACACACCCACACACAGAGAGACAAGGTTCTCAGCAGGGGATCCCATCATCCGGGCCACCTCCTGGTTGCTCAGCCCCAGTGCTTGGTCCTTCAGTACGGAGTGAAGCGATTGCAACCTCCTCGGTATAAACTGGCCTGTCAGAAAGAGAGAAACAAGCAGGAGAAGTGAGAATTGCCTTCCTTCTCAGGAAGGACTCTTTTCTACCTGTAACTCAGTCACAGCCAATAGCACTGGAATTTTAAGGAGAAGGAAGAGGCAAAACCAAATTGATAAAAGAGGACACAGGCCCACAACTGCCCACCCTCCCTGAACTGAATAGATCTAATGAAAGGAAACGCCCATTTTGAGGGAAAAATTAATATCCTCTCTATTTTACTTTCCTGCTGCCTGTTAATGCCCTCTTTTACTTCATCAATGTAACGCATAACTTCAGACTATTTCATCATTACTGTCACAGGAACCAAGACTAAAAAAGTTTCACTTCTGCATTTCCCTACAAGGGAGATGTGAAAGATTCCATTCTAAAAGAACTAAAAATTTTTTCCCTGTAAAGATAATTCAACAGGCAAATCAAGAACCAAAATCTGAATCCTACTACCTGAGCAATGTGGGCTAGCATTGACGAAACAGAAACATTCTCAATGAGTAAGTGAACACTGCCATCTGCTGGCCACTGTGCAGTAATACAATTGTGCCTCATTTGATACAGGGAGGTTCTTGCCACAATTAGAACCAGAATTTCTATCACTAAGCAAGGTGGTTCTCTATGAGTTTCACCTGATTTTACAACCTTTATTGTCATGATTATTAAGAGAGTCACTGCACTTGATTAGAGAATTACACAGTTGTTAGCCAAATCCAGCTTCCCCACTGAGTTTATCTGCCAGAAGCTGGCTAGGAAGGTTGCAACCCCAGGATGTTGAAATTGTTGTTATTAATACATGCCAGTTACCAAACTCCTGAATTTTGATCACATCACCAAAAGGGGTGCTGCGATGGTTATTATGTGCAACAACCAATCATAAATGACTTTTTTCAGCATCATTGTAATTTCAAATGGACTTTAAATGAATCTGTATTAAGATTTTAAAATTTCAAAAATTGCCCCAATTCCCATTCATAAAAACACACACTAAGAGTTGTGGCTTTGAAAAGCCTGCGGGAGATGGATAAAGAATCTTACATCTGTGTGTTTTATATTTCATGGAAAAAAGATCTATAAGTTTATATTTCAAAAGTTTTATTCTTCCCACATGAATCTGTAGTCTTCAGATCCATGTGGGAAGGGTTGACAAGGGTTGCATGATTATGTATTTTCCTAAACCATTTTTTCTGTTAGTTTTCCTTCTTTTTTGCCATTTAATTGATTCGGGAAGCACAGTGCAAATGTTTTTTTTCTCCAACCAAAGAGAGATGCTGTTCATTTGCTCGGTGTTTCTATCACTACAGTCTGTGTTGTACAGATGTTCTTGGCTTACAGTAGATGATTGGACAGCATGACAACTGATCCTTCCCAGCTACCTTTTCAAGATGTAGCATGCCTGGCTCATTCATGAAGTGACTCACCATGGCACCAACTCCATAGGCAGGGGTTACTGTGTGGTGGTAAGGCTCAGCAGTAGTGTAGACCCGTCCATACCTGCATCAGAGAAAACATCAGCAGTCAAGATGGGGAGGGGGGAGCAGGGGTTGGACTATTTGACCTCCAAGGTCCCTTCCATCATCATCATCATCATCATCATGGATCATCGCACAGTCAGCTAGATGTTCAGACTGGATTTGGCATTTTGTCTACTTATTGAGTCCTTACCCAGGACCTGGGATAGGCAGATGTGGATGTTTGATGGTATTACAGATATCGTCGCAGGATGGAAGCAGTTCCTAGTAAGACCGCCTTTTGCAATTGACTAATAGCAAATTTGTCAATGCCAATGGTGTTCAAGTGGTGCTCCAGTTGTTTTGGGATTGCACCCAAGGAGCCTATTACTATTGGTACTACCCTTGCTTGCTTTTGCTAGTCTTTCTTGTTGGACTTGATCTGTAGTAACAGATCATTATTTCTTTGTTTTCCATCACTGTGTATCTGCGACGGGTAAACACCTTTTCTTCCAGTAGTTCTGCAGCTGCTGGCCCTGGTTGCTCAGCCAACAGTCCTGAGTCATGTAACCCATTTTTCACCAGATATCCAGGAACTCCAATATCTAGCGCGGACCTTGTTAACCCGGGCGACATCCGAGCCGGTATGGCATTCTGTAATTTACGTCTCACCATATTTTTTATGGGAGAGACACTCCTCTGATGAGACCTGTCCAGTATGGTTGAACCTCTGGCATAGCTCTATTCTTCCTTAGAGTACACAAGCCCCACAACCACGTCAAGGTAGTGCCTCACTGGGGGATGATAATGATGATGATGATCTTAGACTCATGAACCAGATATTGCCCAACAGGCTTCCTCACTGGGGTAATCAACTTCTTTCTCTAGGAAAAGAAGGACATTAAAAACAAGGGAAAAGATTTTACTCATCAATTAGCAGCTTGGCAATTTTGCGATGTTGCCTGCGGAAAGGACAGTGCTAATAATTACTGTACCCTTTAAGAATCCTTTCCCCTGCAATAGATTTAAAACAAACAAACAAACAGAAAAAAAAACCCAGACTCAGTTAATCCAAGCCTCTACATACCCATCACTGTATGCTGCTGCTGCTGTGGCTGCTGCAGCTGCAGCTGCTGGTGTCTGGGCCACTCTGTATGCTGTAGGATAACCCTAAAATTCAAACAGCAGCTAAAATAAAAATTATTCCAACAGTCTATAAACATCCTGCCATACCCCCTCCCTCCCCCCACACACCAATTTCTTAGGGAAAAGCAGGACTTTATCTTTTTTCCTGCTCCTGAAATGGCCTGTTTAAGAGAACTTTGAGCAGTCTTTCTGCCTATCTGATTGTGCCTTGAAGAGATTTTTTTTCTTTTTCACATAACTTTTTCCCATCTTTACCTATATTTTCAGTTATATAGTTTCAACAGTCGTTCACTCTCTGGTGATAAGCAACTGAATTTTGTGTACTTGGCAACTGGCCTGCATTTACGGCCATTTGCAGTGTTCCACAGACATGTGACTCCGATTTGCAACTTTTTTTTTTTTTGGTGGAAACTGGTGTTTACTTCTGGATTCTGGCAAAAAATAACCATTGCAGATAATTGATTCGCATAACAACTGCGGAGTTCACTTAACAACAGCAGTGTTCATTTACAACCACAGTGATTCATTTAAAGATCATAAAGTCAGTTGTAAAAGAGTTTTAAAGATATGGTGACCTGCTTAACAGCTGGCATGACTTACAACTGTAATTCCAGGCTCAATTGCTATCTTAATCTTAAATCAGAAACTAGTTGTAGTCTGGCCTACTCACCTATCTAGACTTGGCTTAATCAACAGATTAATTAAAATGGGACTGGGCTGCTTATGATGCAGCAGGAATACGCATAATGTTTCAAAACAAAAAGTTCTATTCTCAAAACAGGGGTTCTAAGCACAAAACAAAACTGAGTGTTTCAAGAGTTCTGTTCAGTTTTAGATCAAGTTCAAAATAAAAATTAGCTATGTTGTAGAGCTTTGCTTGAGCGTTCCAACAATTCTGAGTACCTCATCCAGAAAATTGTTCTGTGCTTTGGGACTGGGTTGTTTTTTTGGGAAACAAATGCCAGCAGAGGGATAAGGATCATTCATGTTATTGTTGCTACTGATTTAGATTAGACTGAATAATGTGGTAGTGAAAAGGAATCACTGCTGCATAGCTCAGACCTAGCCATCTGTTGCTTTAAAAAAGAATAAAGCAGTAATGTGGCTAGAAGGATAGACTGCCTGTGCTGTCGATTTATTTTGCAATAGATAATACAAAGCTATGTGCATCACACACATATTGCTACTGCTGCTGAGATTATATAAATGTAAAGACTATGACTGCAATGTTGGTTTGATTGGTTTCTTAAGCTCTGGTATGAACATTCATGCAATTGTGGCCTCTTAATACTGAGCTTCAGAGTCCATTTAAAAGGTGTAGGGTCTAGTTGGTTTGAAGTTTGTTGAACTTTGGTATATATGTGCATTTCATACAGATTTCTGTCTTTTATTTTGTAATATGCCAGAAAAAAGAACCACTAACAGGGAAAAGAGCATTAAAGTGATTAGCTACTTTCTTAGTCTTAGTCTTCCAATGCCTACTCAATGCCATGAGTGCAAGAAACATTATGTCATGCCTTCTTTTTATCCATTTTAACTTTTGCACTGAAGCCTAAACCGGAAAGTGAAGAATACGCATGATGTTGGCACGCGCAAAATCCTTTTTGACTCAGTGCCCACAAAGATCAGCAATCTTATCCCTGCAAAAGGATCATGAGTCCTACCACTCCTTTTCTGCTTTGGGACTGTTGGTGCTGGGCACCCATTCAGGACCCTTGGATTCTAATTTCCAGAAATACCCAGAGGAGGACTTACATAGAGGTCAGAACTGTATAGACCATCTGGATACAGCACACTGGGTGAAAAAAGAAATATCAGTATGCAACAGGAAATATCTTTCCAGACCCACCCCTTTCAAATACAAGTTATCCGTCTTTAAGAAGCTGCTTTTAATTAAGTTATATAAGATATGAGGAGCAAAACATAACCTTGGCCATGTGCACAGTGCCCTTCCCTGACCATTTAACAACCAGAAAGAAGAACTGTGTATCTGGCATGACAGACTACAAGTCTTCATAGTAGTTGAATCAGTTTTGATGTTCCTATGTCCACCCCAAGAATAGCTGAATCAGGCTTCTGTTGCAGCCAGATAGTTATTGAGAAAAATGAAGAAAAAAGCAAGAATATACTATGTTTTTTATCTATTCACTGCACTTCAGTAAATGAGTCATAACGTAGAATTATAGGGCTAGAAGGCACGTTGGGAGTCTTCTAGTCCGAGTCATTTCTGAAGACTTCATTTATTTGCATACTGACTTGAGTTTACTAGAGAACAAAATTCCACCACAAGTTCCTCTCTGTCAATGCTCACCTGCCATAGGCTGGAACTGGAGTGGGGGCCGGTGCTGCCCGAATGGGATTATAGATAGTTGCTCGGCCACGCCCACGCAGAGTCCCACGATAAGCCAGAGCAGCAGGTGCCATCACGGGGTAAGGAATGCTTGCCACTGAGTTAGAGGAGCAATAAAGACAGAAACGTTCCATTACATGAGAGGCAGACTTGGAACAGAAATAGAACTAATCAGGACAAAGAAAGGGATTGTTTTCTGCTCCAAAGTTTTACCAGTGGAAGAGGCAGAGCAGCTTAGAAAGGATGATTCTAAGAAAGCAACCAAAATTAAGTGTGCTTAATGTTTCAACTTGGGGTAAAAAAAAAAAAAAATAGGCCTAATCATCCCAAAAATTTGAGTGGGGTGATCTCCTCTTACAACATGCTGGGAGGATACATCTATATCTGATTTGCAACAAAAGACTGCTGCCAGTATGTTTTCTGTCAACATTTCAATTTTTTTTTTAAATGCGGTAATAAAGAAAATACCAGCATTTGATCAAATCTTGGCAGTTTCTTCCTTTTTTTTTTAGAAAAAAATGTACTTTCCTTTTTTTAATATATCTATGTATCTACAGTATATATCTATATCTGTCTGTCTGTCTGTCTGTCTATCTATATCTAACAGTTACATACTTTTTTCTCTTGCATATGCACACACACAAGCCCTTGTGGTCACAAGATTGTGATACATGTGCTTGCTAACTGGCATGTACTTACGAGGATTGCAGCACCCCTGGGGTCACGTGATGACCATTTGCAACCTTCCCTGCCACCTTCAAACAAGCAAAGTCATTGGGGGAAGCCAGATTTGTTTAATGATGTGGCAAAAAAGATCGAACGATGAGGCAATTATAGGATGACTATAGATTAAGCTGAGGACTACCCGAATATATGTCTGCCATTCACACAGCATATATTCCTAACTAGTATGCATTCAAAAGTCTGTGTGTATGTGTACATGCATTTGTTTTATGCCAATTTCGCTTCCTACAATTTGACACGTAACACACTAACCTGTGTACAGATCAGGAGCATAGACAGCGCCAACTACAGGATTGATCTTCCATCCTGTAAGGACATCCAAGCAAAGAGAAGATCAGATGATCAATATACCTATCTTATTTCTTCTTGCCTTGCCAATCAGTCTGCATATCTGGCCACTCTCCCAGCTTACCAGAACCTGCACAACTTTGACTGGACATGCCAAGTCATTTGCACATGTGTATGTTTTAGAAAGATGGGGACAGCTGGTTGAAGTAATTCTGTCTCGTTAGTTGGAGTACTCCAGCCCTGGAAACTATTGCAAATCCATGCCAGCCACAGAATGCAAGGGCTGAAATTATGCCTTTGTGGAATCTGCATGCCTGAAGGTCTTAAATATTCCCAGCCCAATACAAACTTCCCTGTTTATTATTTGTTTATTCTGCTAACTTTATATACAATTTCCTGCTGGTATGTATAAACCTTCTACAGTTGAAAGTGCAATATCTAAGGCATATAGCAGGGCTTAGGGTCTAAATCAGGGGTAGTCAACCTTGGCTCTTTTATGATTCGTGGACTTCAACTCCCAGAATTCCTGAGCCAGCTATGCTGGCTCAGGAATTCTAGGAGTTGAAGTCCACGAGTTATAAAAGAGCCAAGGTTGACTACTCCTGGTCTAAATCAACCTTTTTTAGTCTGGGCACTTTCCAGATGCATAGATTTCACCTCCCAGACAGTGTGGCCATTGCCCGGAATTCTGGATATAGAAGGCCAATATATTATGTTGATGTCAAGGGTAGAGAAGACTACTATCAATAACTTCTCCTAGCGTGCATTTTAGTATCCTCAGTAACAAAGTTTCTAATTATCAGGAAAAGTTGGGGTAGGGCAAAACAGGATAGGGCTGGATTTTCCTTTTCAATAGATGAAGGTCTGTCTCAGATCTTGGAGTGTGACATCGAATGTGTTTTATCCCCTCAGACTCTGCAGCAAGTTCCAGACAATTGAAGCCTAAGTCTTTCAGGCAGAACCATTCCTACTGTCTGCACTTCAGCATAAAGGCCTTTTTATACCTTGCCAAAGCTCTTCTGAAGAACTGGCCAATGGCCAGTTCATCCTGGCAGCCCCATTGTAACAAAAACTAACTGGAAGATATAAAGTGGGTTTGTCCAACATTCTTAACCTGGTTATTGAACAAGATCATTTCCTGAGTTTACACATTATTCTTGCACAATGAGACTTTTTGAAGCATTTGGACCAAGCAAAAGTGAGAAAAAAACCCAAACTGGTTGCATTTGCATAACATATTAAGCCACAAAAATTTAATCAAGCTGACAGATCTATACCAGTCCAGTAAAGTATGTTGTGTATCACAGGAGCAAATAAAAAAGTCAAAGAGCACTGTGTCAGTCAGAATTGGCAGCTTTCTTGTCATTAGAAATATATCATCGTTATCACATCCTTCCTAGGCCCAGAGAGACATGGCCAATGACATCATAACATTCTTGGTTTGGATAGGGCCAAAATTTTCAGTATGTTTTTGCAAGGATTTTGGGTGGTAGTGGTGAATGGATGCGTTTAGCCTGGCAAATGATTAAGGATGCTTTTGACTCATTAACCTCCTCCAAATCAGAATTAGTGATTTGGGGATAGAGCTGGAGGGTTTTTGAGGTTAAGCTTCTGAAAGTTTATGACATCAATTAATTTCTTAAAGCCCCTAAGTACCCCAAATGAAAAAAAAGGCAGAAAAACCATAGCCATTCCAAAGTTGGGGGCTCTGGAGATTAAAATAGAAATCTGGAGTCTGGGGGAAGATAGTGGGCGAATCGCAGAGACTTGCCTTAGCCCCAAGCACTTACTTGCCCTGCTAGAGGGGTCACCCAAAGATGCCATGAAGTCAGAAAAATGAAAGAGCTGCCTTGAATAAAAGCAGGCATTGGCCTTGGCTGTCATACTCTAGTGAGAAAACTCTGGACTATTTGTTTTAAAGATGGCATTTAGAAGCAAGCATATTGCATTTATTGCATACCATTCACCAGAGGTGCCACTGGGGGTTTCTTGGTGACTAAACGGGCAGTGGCATTGTTGACCTGCATGGGAGAAAAAAGCAGGAAGTCAGATCAAAGTGCAACAAGATGTAGTTACAGTAAGAAAGGCAGACTATTATTATACTTTGTCTTTGAAGAAGTCTTTGCAAGACTTTAGTTGAATTCATGAATAAATCTCTTCAGTATTTCTTGCATACAGCATATCCTGCTTCCCTGACTGTTAAGTGTAACATTAAATCTTGGAAGGGGAACCTTCAGCAAAGTAGAAAATACCATGTTGAGCAAAAATTAGTATGCTGATACATGTTTGTATGATACATAGATTAAACTCTCACCTCAATTTTCCTCCCTTCAACAATACTGCTATTCAGCTTTTCTCGTGCCTGGTCAGCATCTTGGCTGTTTTCAAAGGTGACAAACCCAAAACCCTAAGAGAACAGAAGATCTGTGTCATTGTGGAGCAAACTGGAAAGACTGACTTACATTGCAAAAACAATCAGAAGGCTATGAAATTTTCAGATTAAATTATAAAAATGAGTCTTCTGTAGTTTCCCTGTGATCCTGGAAAAAGATGTGGCTGCTTCAAAAAGTTGCAGACGTGATCTTTCTCCTTTAAACAGAGACTGTGTCTATGTGGTGGAGGAATAACTGAAATGTTTAAAAACATTATTCTGTAATGCGTTCTCTACATAGGTGCTCACCAGGAATTATTATTTCCATTCTTCACTAAATATTCTGATTTATGTTTAATGATTATCAGATTAACCTGATTTTATTTCTTTGACCACAGCCAAGAATTGCACAGTACATCATATTTATTCTAACCTTTTTTAGATATTGTAGAACAATTCATTTCCCTTTTTATCTTAATTAATTGTGAATTTAGTGTTTTACCAGCTAGCTTAGGACCAAATAAAGTTTGTTTGTTTGATTGATTGATTGACTGGCAGAATCTCTCTTGGCACTCTAAAGCATCATTTTGTTTCAAATCCAACGCATTTCAACCCTAGTAATTCTCCCTATTGATCTTGTTGCCAATCCTGAGACCTTTTTGACTTCAGCAACCTTGGAGCATTGGAATTAGAAATACTAAGCCAAAGAAATCAAAGGCATGTTGTTATTAATCACTCTTACCCCCCCCCCCTTTGTGTTCCTGGAATCATTACTTGCTTCCTTCAAGTCTACTATAAGTTATTTCATATATTACCTTTTATTTATTAAGCTTCTCACCTATTTCTCTGAGAAGAGCTTATCAATTTATACAACCATTACTTTCTGTTTATTCTCTTTCTGATGACCCATTCACTTTTCCACTATATTTTTGTTTTGCCATCTCTATGTGATCAAACCATCACAACAGAAAGATTGGTATAGGGAAATACTATACCTGATATTCAGGTATTTTTAAAGAAATTTTGCCATTTACAAAGTCTGCATTTCATGTTGTCTCCAAACTAAGGTGGATAAATGTGTCAAGGCAATTTTATTCATCCATCCATCCATCCAATTTATTTGCTTCCCCTCTTGTGGTTCTGGCAACTCTGAATAACTTGCAAAAGTTCTGGCTGCACTAGTAGGATTCCTAAAATTAATGCGACCTTGCAATGAGGTGGCATTGCTTGCCAAACACGATGGATTTGCCAAGCGCCATCAGCAAATCCTGAACTTCTTTTCCTCTGAGAACAGACAATCCACAGCCTTCCTTTGGAAGCCCTTCTCCATGCAGTACCTTTGAGCCACGCTCATTAAAGATGATTTCCACGTCGAGGATTTTTCCAAATTGCTGGAAAATAGGAAGAAAATCAACCATTGTCAGAATGACAATGCACAGCCCAGTTTTTATCAAGAGACTATGTCACATAGAGGGCCCAAATTATATATCGGCATTTGTTGAAAGAATATGCTTGATTATTTGGTTTGTTTTTCTACCCCAAAACCAATGTTCTTTGGCTGAGATTAATTCATATATAGGGCCCAAATTATATGTCAGTATTTGTTGAAAATATATGCTTATTTTTCACTCTACCCCCAAACCAATGTTCTTCAGATGAGTTGGTGCTTCCCGATTTCAAGATCTGGGTTTTTTTTTTAACTAAAGAAACCAACATAAATGAACAGATTAACGAACCCAGCATTTGACGTCAGGTGAGCCTCTTTAGGGATGGGGTAGAACTGACTTACTCCAAACATCTGCCGCAGGTCAGGGTCACGGAAGCGGAAGGGAATGTTGGACACATGTAAGCGCTTTGGCTGGGCTTTATTCTCCTCACTTTCTGCATCCTCTGTCTCTGGAGATAGCTCAGGTGCAGGGACTTCTTCGGGTTGCTATGGAAAAGGGTGGGAGGGGAAGAAAGCAGGATCACACACATCCCTGGGCCAACTCTCACCATATTCACCAAGAGAGGGATCTTCCAAATTTTATAATTCAGCCACGGGTGAGAAAAGGCGGCTGAACATGTCTGAGAAGAGGCTGAATTCAATTCAAGTTCGAGGCAGTCACAAGGGAAGATGCTGAACTTTGTAATGTGATGACTACAGTTCATGGAAAGAAACATAGATGCCATGAGGAAAAAGGAAGACTTATATAGCAGTATCTCCATGATAAATGTATTGGCATTTATTTATTTATTTAATGTATATGCCACACATCTCATTTTTATTATATAGGAGAAACCAAAATGGTTACGTTACATAGGGTGGCAGCAGCCCCCTTCCCTCCTCTATAAAACTTGGTGATCATCATCCTACATGTTGAATCTTGAAAACTGTTTTTAAGCTAAGGACCTATTGAACTAGAAGTGTCTTTCTCATGTAGAATGACTCTTCTGGGGTTTTAGGAAAGAATCCTCGACATTTTCTCCAGCCACATGACTGGAGATTTCAGGATCTAACGTCCCAATTCTCTTGGAAGATACCAATTGGACAAAAGATTGCTTTGAGCAAATGCATGAGTCCTTCTGCCAATGCAATGAGGTATTCTTCAGTGGGCTTAGCTCAGATAATAAAATGCCTAATCCTTTCTATGATTTCTAGACTATTGATTGCATTTGGTTTATGATATAAGAGAAGAAATATCAGAACTGACTTCTGGTTCCTTTTTCCTATTGTCTCTATTGTTTCCTATTATCTCCACTAATTTTCAAATACCACAGTATTCACTAAGAAGCTACAGATAAATGTAAATAATTACATATATATAAAACTGCAAAGAAGAATTCCTAGGATGATATCATTAAGAATCCAAGTGGAAGATCCTAGGTTTTTGACTATTTTCTCAAGTAATTAACAAATGAAGAAACGTAGCCCATCTGAGGCAAGATTTCTAGCCTAATTATGTATTCAGATGGGCCAATATTTTGTGTGCATGGGTATCTCCTAACATGAGGGAGCATTTTATCAAACCTCTAGTTCCTACAGGCGTAAGTGATGCTAGTTGAGCATAATAATGTTGTTCCCCTCCCCTAGTTGGGAGGAACTGCATTAAAGGAACAAACAATTACCAACTCCCATCACTTTAGGTTCTCAGGCCTATTTTTTGCCCTTTGAAAACCACCCATAGAATTGCTAACTTCATCAATGGGGTCATACTAAGAGTTTCCTCCTCTAAATATATGACTGCGCATTAATTTTATCTAACAGTAATGGCTTTGAGATCTGAGAAATCCAGAGTTCTTCCCCATGTCTTGCAAATCCCAATTTCCATATAAAGTCCATTATTTCCCTTTAAAGGGAATTGTGGTTTTTTTTTCTTTCCAAGCTTCACCACCCACACATCCAAAAAAAGAATTCACCGAGAACATATTTCAATGCACCAGCAAACATTCTGTCTTGGGTTAGCGAACAGGACAGACACATGGCAGCATACAGAAAACCGTTAGTGGAGAGAAGCAAGACTGGCTGAGTGGATGTAATTTATGACAAAGTTGTGGAGAAGATCTGAGGGCCTGGTGGCAAAGAACCAACCCAGACCCACAACTCTTTCTTCTCCATGCAGGTGGCCCTTCTTATTCCACAATGCAACTTCCACGATGCAGCATTCTGAGAACAGACCAAATGTGCACAGCCTCTGTCTTGCAATGTCAGAAGTGCTGAAGGATTGGGGGAAGAATAGAAGAGCCAGAAGAGCAATTAATCTGGCTAGGGGTGGGAAGGACGTTGAACTTGTCTTCAAAATTCCTGCCACAGATTAGCCTTGAGAGGGCCTGGCCTATAAATGGCATGCATGATCACCTATGGATGCACCTACCAGAAAAAATAACAGGCATGTCAAAAAAGGATTTGTGGGGTTGTTACAACTTCAAACACAAATCTAGGTAAACACAATTGGCTGGATTCACATCATGCTAAATGGGTAAACTATTTTTCACATATTATGATGGCTAAAGTTATAGGAGCAAGCAAGTTCCCCTTTGAGCAAAACATAATGCACAAACTGGACCAGTTTATTTAAAGCAGTAGTCATATGATCAGGTAGCAATGGCTACAGCATGAGAGATTAATCACAAAACAAGACTAACTGTGTATGAATGGAAAGAGATACTGTACATGGCATGTATATGGTAAAAAGTGCAGAGATTCCTAGTAGAAGGATACATCACTGAGTGCTTATCTACATGCTTGCAGTGCCATCTACCCTATACAAATTAATTTAGCCCCTAGTCTGAAGTACTTTAATTCTTTTGAACAGCCAAATACACTGAGAAAACTGTGTCTGCAGTACATTTCCAGAGAAAAACACTAGCATATAGCAAAAGGAAAGATTTTTCCATAACATCTATATGTAGGAATTATTTCATAAGGAGCTGAGCATTTGGTTATATGAGCCCTTCCTGCTATCTAAAATGATACAATCCAGAAATAGGTTTGCTGCTCTATCATCTACTGTCTATAAAAAACAGGTCTATTTTAAGTCAAACTATCTGGAACATATATTATTCAGTTGAACTAATTTAATATGTGTTATGAATTTTTAACCTGCATTTGATTATGCCCTTAAGCTGGAAAAATATAGCATCTTCCTTCTCAACATTTTCTAAATTTTTAAATTCTGAAGGCTGGCATTTATTTTTCCAAAAACAGAAGGGCTCGATCTGAGTTGGAATCTGAAGCATCTTTTTATATTTTGTCTGGAAGAGTATATTTAGTGTGTAGCAATATGTATCAAACCAGGAATTGCACAGCAGATAAGAATAATGTTTCCCACCTTTTAAAGATGAAAAGCAGCTGTGGGAGGTAGTAGCTTGGAGCTGAAGTATGGCAATGAAGTCAGTCTTCTCCAACCTTTCTCTCCTGAATTTCCATTCAGAAACATGTCTCATGAGCTGCTTTTTCTTGCCCAGAGATTGGGTGAACTCAGTTTCCCTAATGAACTCGGAGGGAATCAGGCGCAGATCAAACTTCCTCTTCTATGGTTCTCCCTTTTATTTCTGAATCCTAACCAGAGTGATATCCAATGTACACACCCTCTGTGAACATGCTTACAGACTAGGGAACAGGACAATGATTCTGCTTGTCTTAGTACACACCTGTGTGTAGTATTAAAGCACATGGATACACAATTCTAGCCACTCCCAAATGCAGACAACCCCCCAAGCAATAGCCATCCCCCTCAGTCCACCAAATCCTCTCCTGTGCCCACATTCCTCTACTCATCCCAAGGGCAACACAAAACCTTAGTTCCCATTGTCACAACCACCTCCCAGTAGCCAGATGGATTCCCCCAAGTTACACAGTCCTGCTTATAAAGACAAGTTCAACAGGGATTAAATTCTTTCCAATAGGGCCCAACATTTGTTGGGAGGATAAAATGCAGAGGGAATGGTGGGATGGGGGGGGGGGAGTTCAAGTGTCAGGCTGAGAAGACAGGCAGGTGCAGTTGCGCAGTGAGTAGGTTAACTATTCATGTATTAATGAGACTAGAGCCAGAGAAATGTGATGGAGTCCAAGATGCCTGGAAGAAAACCTGAGCTCAGCAGGAGGTCCGCACACGTTGCCATTAGCACCTCGGAAAAGGCCCTAGTCCAGGAAAGACACAAGGAGTCATTGCAAAGACAGCTTTGCTACAAAGCTAGGAGCAGCTCTCATGTTCCATGAGGGAAAAAGAAAAAAGAAAACACAGAGATGAGTTACAACAACACCCTCTATTTGGTCCATCAAGAAAAGTGCATAAAGGATGTATCAGTAACTAAAACATAAGATCTGCTATGAAAAAAAAAGCTACAAAACTTATACAAAGGGAGAAAAAACAGACAGGACTGTTACTATTTCAGCCAACACATTCACCATAAATGAAGCACTTATATTAAGCATTCTAGACATAATTGACACTCAAAATGGTGGGGGGAAAATTGGACAGTGTAAATACTTATCTATAATAAGTACATCTTTAATAAAATACCGGTTTTAAATTTCCACCCAAAACACAGCCATGATTCAGTAGTATCTGAGGTGAGGCTGGGGGGGGGGGTCACACAGAGTCTAAACCCAGCAACATCAGCTTGCAGAAGTTAGGAGGTGAAAGTAAAAAGGGGAGATGCAAGTATATGGCCAAGCATGAGCAAAGCTCACTCTCCCTTGAGATATTTTGACATTTATTTACTGAAAAGAAAACAAAAATCAGAAATTGCATGGGTGTACAAGAGCCAGGTGCTGAATTGGCAAGCAGGTTTGCCAACTTTTGAAAAAGTCCCTTCAGTTGTCTTTAAAAACAATGTGAATTATAGGAATTAGCTGGTGATTATATGGGTATGAAAAAAGCTGGTTTCTGCAACTTATGTACTACTGTTAGATGCATAAGAAAAAGAGAAGTGATTTGAATCCCCTCCTCCACGTTTCTTCTTGTTTTTCCTCTGGGCAGTTGGCAACCCAATTAGTTTGGATATTAAGCTAGAAGGGCAGAGAGTAAATTAGAGTCTATGAAAGAGATTTGAGTAGCAAAGAAAGGTCCTCTTAGAAGCTTTGGGCCTGCCCTAAGGCAACTGGCTTCAGGACAAATCAAGATTTTTAATTGTCTGAGTAAAATGATGCTCTCTACCCAATTGTCGGGATGCAAAAAACCTAAACTTTGAAAAATGATTTGGCATTTGTGACTGAAAACCCCACAATCTCTCGCTGGCCACAAAATGATGGCAAAAACAATACAAATGTCAGTCTAATTTCCATCCTATTGTAAACACCTCACATCTGCTCAAGTCAATTCTGCATTTGGCTTCATGGTAATTAATTTATTAAATTTATTTATTAAATTCTTATGCTGCCTATCTCTCCTACAAGATGACTCTGGTCTATCTTATCTTGTAGGTCTATCCTTGCTTCAAGAGATAGATACTGGGATGTTTTTGAAAAAGCTTTTTGTTCATTTATTTATTATTTTGTCACGTGGGAGAGGGAAACAAATATTGTTTGGATTTCTTGTCTTGGGCATGAAACAATCTCTGGACATCTCTGCTTACAATTCATCAAAGGACGTGGTGTCCTTGAAATGAGGCTATTGGCTATGTGCTACTTGTCTACCCGGAGATAAACAGCTTCTGGTGAAGATGGTGAAAGATCTGGGGGGGGGGGAGGTGAAAGAGATAGAGCAGGGAATCTGATACGGGCGCAGCTGTTGGCTGGAGAAAGGCGTCATTACCCAATATGGTCACCAAATCCACTGCCTCTGTTGCTGGATTAGGGAGGAGGGAGGATTCTGTGGCCTTGCGAGGTGGAAAACTAAGGAGAGATTTTATGGTACACCCAAATGAGAAATCATTGGATCCTCTGGAGTTTAGCACCCAAGGCTTTGGATTTGAAACCTTTCTATTCTACCTGTTTGAAAGATAATTACCTGATCTTTATACCTCAAGCTGTTTAATTTTTTCCAGGCCAAAGATCTTATTTGGCCTTACTGGTCAATACCCTGCCCCCCAGTAACAGGACCAAGAGTTTACTATATTTATTTCTTTTCTAATATTTAATTAAGTAAGCAATCAATATGCTTACTCTCCAGTTGTGTATTTAGTTATTCCCTGCTTCTTCCACTTTCAATTTGATGGTATTTGCTGAGGCCACACACAAGAGTTTCTGGCACTGTACACAGCCCTCAGTTTTATTCCTCTGATTAAAAATACCTTTTTCTCTCAGGATAGAGGCAATAAAGCAAAAAATCAAAATTAACCAAACATCAAATTGTCCATCAATGGACATTTCTCTGGTCACAAACAATAAATTAGGCTTACCTCAAGCAACCAGGAAAGAATTCCTGTTTTCAAAGCTCTGTTTAAATTAATACTATTACCTTTAGTACTTTATAAAGAACCATACATTTGTATAGGTATGTTCTGTGTATTAATAGCCATTAAAAAATACAAGTAGATAGTGCATTAAGAACCACCATGTAACTCTTATTGTAATGACAGGGATCTGCCCCTCTGTCTCCTCTAATGTTTTGGTTTATGAAAGGCCATATGGCCCACAGCAGTCTTGCTATGAGGAAGCTATCCAGCAGATGTAGTGCTCACAAAACTCAAGATGTGGCCCCCAGTCAAAATACTGGAGGATTTCAAAGTAGTTGGGTTGCCAATTGGCCGGCAGATTGAGGGAGTAAATCTGTTACTGTTCAGATAGACTATAATATCCACAGTCTGCTGTGTTGCTTGGACTGCTTGGAGTTATAGTCCAAATATCTAGAAAGTACTAGGTTGCTTCCCTGAGCTTGTCTCTCTAGCAGAATCTGGATTGGTTTGTCCTGCCTATTAATTACAACAGATTATCTAATTACCCTTAAGGGATCAGCTATGGATGCAAAATTTTCAGTACTGTATTCTATATATTTTAAGAAGACATGTGGGATTCAGCACTGAAAATTGCCAGCAACCAAGTGGTAGGTATGTCAGAGAAATATAAGAGAGTCCAGCTAGATTTTATCATGCTGCAGGCTAGATTTTATCATGCATCAACATCAAAGCATAATGCTTCTCTAGAGAACAAAAGAGTCTTGCAGCTTATTTACAGAGAACAAATATATTCTGAAAACTGCTGGAAGTAATTCCTCTACTATCACAGTCAAAAAGCAAACAGACTCAATTGTGGAACTTCCTGCTGGGATTTAACTGCTTGAGCCCTTCCAGGGGGAAAAAAAAATAAGAGTATTGATACAGATAGCAAAATGTCTCAGGTAAATTCTGTACCTGTCAGCAATGTTGATGGAAAAAGACTCTGTCAAGACAGAAATATCTGACTTCATGATTAAGCAGACATACATTAGGGGCATTCACACTGCAGCTCCCCATACTCTACCAAATTTGATACTTTCTCTCTTCTTTCTATAATTCTGGTATGCATGAAGGTGGAGGGCAATGAATCAATGTTCCTGTTTGAGTACAGAGAAGCATTCCTGCGCTGCAAGGTTGAAGAAAACTGGTACATTATGGAATTCTGTACTCTCTTCAACCATGGCTTAGGAGGAATGGATATGATAAGAAATCTAAAGTTCCTATGATCACAATTCCACAAATAACAAAAACATTAGAAAGGAAGTGGTGTAGGGTAGGATGATGGGGTCTAGATAGCAAATAGTTGACAGACTGAAGGAGGTATTAGCCTTCATTTGTATGTATTATTTTAAATAATACCTCCTTCTCAGTCCCAAAGAAACCAACTTTACTTCTGGCTTTAAGCTAGTGATCCCTTCCAGTTTTTCTTTGGAAATATTCAAGGAAAGAGCTAAACTGCACTAAAACAAAATACAAAGGTTTGGTTGAGCCTAAGTACAAGGCAGCCCTGAACGAGAGCAAACAATAACAAGTGAAGCCCTTGCAGGTTGCTTTGGAAAGGAGTAGAGACGCAATGAATACTGTTGAGTTCAGTTTTTTAAAAAATCCAGAAGTGGATTTGGAAGGATAGGGACTGACTGGAAGCCTCTTATAGACTTTTGGTGTAAAAATAAAAAAAAATTGAATTTGTGGTTCATGGCTGATGATTAGACAGCATAGATTATAGAAAGAATATTGTGATATAACTTGAAAAGTTAAAATATAATTGTACTACTAACTATGGTGAAGAATATCAGAAGCCATTTCTTTGTATTTTTTTTCCTTCTATTTTTCAACTTTTTTCTTTTCATGCACTTTTTGCTTTTTCTTGGCTTTTTTCTTTTTCCTTTACTTCATATTATGTTTATCTTTTTAAAAAAGCGTCAGTAAAAAAATCATACAAAAGAATTATAAAAAGAAAAAAGTGAAGGTTTAAGTTATATTAGGAACTGCTGGTTCAAGAACTCAGTAAAGTTGTTCCATATATTGTATTACATCTTGTGGCTTTGCATCTTAGACTTCACAAGCATGCGTGGAGAATGAATAAGTACTAGATATTCTACAGAAAGTAAATCACCATTTACAGATGTTTAATAAGAGACATGTTTTCAGCGTTCCAAAATTTCTTGAAAGTCCTGATATATGGTAAATTCAAGGCCCTGAATAATTTATCCTGTTTTAGGTTAATGTAGATGTATTGATATAAATTTTGTTTTCTAAGAAACTTGGATTAGGATAAGAGAAGAGAAAGTTTGCTTGAATGGAAGGGGTACAGAGGAAGATGGGTCCTTCTGGGTCCAAGGAAATCACTAAGATAGCAAATGAATATGCAATGAAGATGTTAAGGAACATAGGGACCCAGGTTTTTGCCTACCCTCAGCTAAGAGAGTATAGTGGGTTACTTTAGGGCTATGTGTCTGTCCCTGTCTCACACACACCCCAGGATTATTGTGGTGTGAAAAGTAGGAGGGCTGTTATGCATGCCACCTTGAACTCCTGATCGAAAGAATGGGTTCAAAACTAATAAATCAATCCTTGGGAAAAGAGCAATTCCCTAGAATTGGCAGATATGAAGGAAAGGAAAAGGAAATGTGCATGATCCCAGAGAAATTGGCCATAAAACTTCCTTATTGACTGAAATGTGTTAAATCTAAAGGATGGCTTGACCACCTACTATAACTATACTACTGCAGAAAGACTCAGCAACATTTACATGCAACAGAACCTCACAGATATGTAATGGTTATTCTATATGTATTCTACAAATTGAAAAGTGCAAATCTTTCCTGGCTCTGAAGATATATTTTTTGACAATTCTGTTCATCTCCAGTCCCCCCTCTCCCCCCCCCCTCTAGAAATGAGGGGAGCTGCTTGGGGTTGAGCTTTTACTATGGTCAGAGATGCTCTTCTCTATTGCTTCAGACATACTAAGGCTTTCATTCAAACTTGGAAATCCAAACGGCTGGGGGATCTAAGGAAGCCCCAAGCATTCCAGGAAGCTATGAGTTCAGCAAAACCTTGTATACCAAACCTTGAGTATGGGAAAGCTCTACTTTAATCCACTCCTTTAATGACCCTTACCTTTCAGAAAACCCAGCCATCAAACATGCCACTGTGAATGATGCTATCCCTTCCACGAAACAGCAGAGAATTTTGATAGCTGGATAGTTAACAAATAGATAACAGGAAAATACAACAAATCAGGGTTCAAATACAGAGATGCAGGAAGAGGATGTGATGGAAATGAAATGCAGGCCAACTAATACCCTTTATAGTTTGTCTTGTTTTCTCTGTCAGAGAATGCCAGAACCTGTTCTTGAAGAATACCTAAGAAATGATCATAGTAATTATGCAGGCTAGGACCTATTGCTGACTTCCTCAACTACCCCACTGGTTGCCCTTCTCTTGGCATTTCCTTCATAAGAGCTAGATAACCAACCCTCCACTTACGGCAGGAGGTGGAGGCAATGGCAGAGGGTCTGATGCAGTTGTGCCCTGCTCAGGGAAGATGCGCAGGCTGTGATCCAGGGCAGTTGGAGATGGGTACTCAGATGGGGTGCTGTGGAGATGGTATTGTGGAGGGAGCCGGGCCTGGGGTGGCGGCGGTGGGTACTGAGCTGGAAATGTCTGTGTCATGGCATCAGTAGGTGGTACTGCAGCATCTGGACTACCCTGGAGGAATAAAAATCAAAAGAAAATGAAATTAACTACTGCCACAACCTGCGAGTCAAGAGAAGCAAAGGAACCATTTTCTGAAGCAGACTCTTGAGAATAAAATATAAAAATCCTCATATCCACTAAGGCTCTTCCCTCTGTACTCAAACTGTCCTGGAAACTTTTTGTATACACATCTGACACTGTGTGTGAGAGAGGGGAGGAAGAGGGAGAGAGAGGGAGAGAGAGAATCTCAAATTCTTTCAAAACCAATTCTGTCCTCTCCTACAACTTTTGTTATAGAGCTGAAGAGATAAGGTTAACCCATTACAATAGCCACACAACATATATAATCATGAAGCACAGTAGAGAACTCCAATGTCTGTGAATGTATATGTGTATACACCCAGAGAATATATCCAAACAATGCATACAAACTACTAAGCCAGCATGCGCACTTCAAATCCTGACTAGCTATAAAAATGGCAAGTGAAATAAAATGTCCCTACCCTCAATAATGAAAAAAGCCTTAAATTCATTCTAATTCTGATGATAACAAGCATCTGGTCGTATTACTAGGGCGCCTGAGAAACAGAGCAGAAGGATCCTAGCTAATGCACTCTCCTCTCTCCTTAGTTTTGCAACCCATGCGACCAATTGCTTCCCCTTCTATTCCCTCCCCCATGAGAAAAACCAAGGGTCCCAGCTTCCAAAACCTAGGAGGAGGGCAGAGGGAAAATTCTGAAAAGTTTTTAGTATTTCACCCACCTACACCAACAGGCCCCATCCCTTGCCACCTCTGCTGCGAATCGCTGCCACGCAGAAAAGGATGCTTGGAGTAAAACCCCCACCCATCCAGACGTCCCTTCCTCAGCCTATGCCCCACAACTATAAAGGCATCCCTCGTGTCTTTCTCTCAGCCAATGAGCATGAACCTCGGTGCGCACGGGTTCTCGGATTGGCTGCTGTCTTATCAGTTCTCCCGCCCACGCTCTCTCTGCTCTTCTTTGGAGCTGCTGTGCCGGCTCTTTGTCTTTCAGCTGTTTGAAAAAAAGCGGCGGGGGGGGGGAATGGATTTTTTTTTTTTTTAACAGATCTGATTAAGGCGGCCGCCGACAGCTGCAGATTTTTCTTGGAATTTGCAATTTGCCCTGCGGTGGCTCAGCACCTGTCCCACCTGTCCAAAGACAGGCGTGGGGATTTATAGGAGCCAGATTTGGGAAAATGCAAAACTGGGAGATATTTTTAGGATTTGAATTGATGCCTCAAACAAAAGGAGGTGAAATTGTTTTGCTCAAGACATCTTTTCAAGGCCAGAATAATTAATCCATTAATTGCTGGATGTTTTGGTCAGCAGATCCCAACATAACTGAATCTGGCAATTACAGTAAAATGGGTCACCCTATGATCAGATCCAACTTTTGGATCATTTTGGTATTGTTGTTAAATAAACACTGTGGGCTTTAAGCAAACCCATTGTGTTTTTTTCAGAACCAATGTCACATGACTTCGTGGTGCTGCAACCAACCATAAATAAGGGCCAGTTGATGAGCCTCAAAAAAATTTCATTTTTTTGGTGCTCATCAATTGGCCCTTATTTATGGTTGTTTGCAGCACTCTGAGATTATGTGACATTCAGTTTCTGGATGTTATGTGATCGCAGAGTGATAATGATATCACAACTTTGAAACTGAATCATAAGTAGTTTTTCAAAAATCCGTTTTAACTTTGAATGGTTGTTATTCATTTGGTCATAAGTTGAGGATTACCTGTAGAGAGAAATAGCTTGTATACTCACGGCTTACATGAATAATTTTAAGTAAGGGTGCAGATTGTAGCACTTTGACCATTAAAATTCCATTTGTTTTCAGTATCATATGGTCATCTCACGAAGCATCCAGTATTTTAACTACATGTTGATGCTGAGGTTCACCTTGATCAGTGCTCCAACAATTTCAAGAACTCACACTGCCATTAATACATGCAACCACATACAGCCTAAATTTCAGGCTGTGGCTACCAAGTGGATTTTACCCCTCTTCTAAAAAAACTGATGCTTGAAGAGGACTGATGAAAAAAGTAATTAAAAATTGCTGTACCATATTGAATATGATTTTTCAGTGTCTAATTCCTACAGATTTTTTGTCAAAAATAGAAACAGATTGGAATGATAGATACAAGAAGATATCAGAAAAATATGAAGAAATTAAAAGTCTAGTTGTTTTTTATAACTGGTAAATGTGTCCTGGGTTGACATAATTGAATGCTAAGAGGAAATGTCTTCTTATAAGAAAAATAAGTGGCAGGAATAAAGATTTTAATTTTGCACAAATCTTTACATTCTTTATTTGGGGTTAAATTTAACCTCATCATATTTAATTGACTTGAATTGATTTATTTTTTCTGTTATTTATTTTACAAGTTACTAACCTCCACTTCCCCTCCCTAACTTACTTAAATGCATTATGAGAATAGGACTTATGGGTAATAGTTTTTGTTCTCTTACCCCTTCAAAGATTTATTCCATTTGTGAAATCTCACCTGTTCCCTGAAGAACCAGACAATACAACGATGAGTACAAACACATATGGTTACATGTACAAGTTTACAAAAATAAGATCAAATCAGATTTTATTAAACAGATGCAGAAAGAGTTATTTGTGAGCTCTGTCACTATGTTCAGCAAAGCACAATTGATGTTTTAGCAAGTTGTGTAAACTTTATCAATATTTACTTATTCATTCATTTAATATACTGCTGTAAACAACAGATTCTACACAGCATACAACAATAAAACAGTAGATAAAACTCAGACTAATAGAACAGTAACTCAGATGATACTCATTCATCTTCCCCCACACTCACCCCAAAAACCCCTTCTCTGTAAATAGGATCCATTTTTACTTGTTTCATAGGTAATTAAATACCTATTAACTTGGCCTCCAGAATCAAAGACAGAGGCCTCAAAGTGTAAACTTGTAATGAAGTCATATAATTTACTGTAATGTGTGAAACCAGACATTAAGGTTTATGTCAGTATTTATGACTTAGCACCATGTATGACACTGCAAATCTAGCCAATTGTCACTAAGTGAACAAATCATAGGCAAACTTTAGTTTAAATAATGTATGAGCTCAATCATTAATTGATACTGTTTGAAAGAAAATGCATTTTTGTTTTGGTACTATAACATATAAATAGATATTGCTATTTTTTTGAACATGGTAATTTCATAGGATCAAAGAATTGTTTTACAGAAATAGTCCAGTGTTATATACAGATTTTATTCCGTACTGTTCAAAGTGGACCAAAACAAAAAGAAATGGGCATTACCTTTAAAGCCCTATATGGCTCAGGGCCAGGCTATTTGCGAGACCGCCTACTACCTCATAGTTCCCTACGTCCGGTTAGATCCCACAGGCTGGGCCTCCTTCGGGCCCCGTCGGCCAAGCAGTGCCATTTGGCGGGGCCGCGGAGGAGGGCCTTCTCTGTGATGGCGCCCATGCTTTGGAATCAGCTCCCCCCGGAGATTAGGACCGCTCCCACCCTGTTGGTCTTCCGTAAGCTACTTAAGACCTGGCTTTTCCGGCAGGCCTGGGGTTTATAAAACCTTACCCCTGGATGATTGTTTTTGTATTGTTGTTTGTTATGTTTTATGTGTTTTTTATTGTTAGCCGCCCAGAGTCCTTCGGGAGTGGGGCGGCTTATAAATTTTAAAAATAAAATAAAATAAATAAATATGCACATACAAAATGGGAAGGGTTTGGACACAGAGATGATTTGACCATCTTGCTTTGATTTTCTGCCCCTGCCTTGATGCTTTTATTTTATTTTACTTTTTAGAAAAATACTTGCAATGAAACAAGATAAGCTGAAAGTTGTTTTAGAGTAGTAAACCAGTAAGTTTCTAGTAAATGACTCACATGCCTGCTTAGTGGGACCACTTTATAATATCTCTCTTAGAAGTACCCACTTTCCACCCCCCACATCAGTCTTCATCTATTTCTGTAACTGCAGAAGCACAAGAGCTTACTTTGTTTCCACATTTGTCCTTTGACCTACGTTAGCCAGAATTTACATTCACTCGCAGTTTTCTATTCCACATGAATAAGAGTTAAAACTAATATATTCCTCTCCACTCAAAAAAAAAGCGTAATATGAAAACATACCAATTTGCAAGCACAACTTTGTTAGTTTTCTAACCTGGACAAATACTTTACAATTTCATTTACCTAATGCCATACTGAGCAGAATAGGAATGTAACTAGTGCAAAAGAGTGTCTCAGAAAATCCATAACTTATGATAAGGGATGTCGACAGTGGGTGAGTAAGCAAAATCAAGATATGTTTATCACAAAAGAAGGTGGAGCTTGCATTGCATATTTGCAACTGCCATCTTGTCTTTTCTTAACCTTCCCTGCAGATGTCCCTGCTTGAGAAAGAGATGACTTCAGTTTTACTCTCTGTTAATATGTAATAATATTTTTAAATCTACAGAAAGTAACAAATGCTATGAAACAGACATTCTGACATAAAATTCAAACTGGCCAAGAGATGTACAAAGCTTTTGTCAAAGCAACTGATTAATATTCAATATAATCAATATTTTTAATTTACAAGTGATGAATAGTTGAAGCTGAAAGTAAGTTTCAGCAAAAGATCAACTGTGGTATCGCTTTTCTTTTCTTTTTTAAGCTTCAGTCTCATTTGCTTTAGGGAGATTTTTAAATATTAGCAGCACATTGCAAATCTCCAGAGAATGCTCACTAAATCGTAGTCTTACTGTGGAAAAAAATGGAAGAGCAATGTAAGTATTTTTCATTTCCATTTCTCTTGTGTCTGAATGAGCATATGGAAACTCAGTCCATAAACTCTAGAAACAGCTGTGTTGAGTGATCTACATGAGTGTTTTACTCTGTCAGTGTGACAATTGTTTCAAGCACAGCACACACAGTACATATCCAAACCTGTCTGCATGCTATTATCCCTCAAAACTGTGTTCCCTAGATGCTTTCAC